AGCAAGAGGCACCAGCTGAACCTGCAGCCGAGAAGCCAACTCTGGCAGCCCTCCTGGAGCAGTTCGAGCATGAGCCTGACGACTTCCACAAGTGGTCCGAGCCCGACAAGGGGGTCTGGCGAGCAGCAAGGGCCAAGGGCGAGCGCATGGCCCAGACGGTCAAGGAGCACGAGGAGGAGACGGCGAAGCACCTGCGACTTCTGGAGGAGGAGACGGCCAGGCACCAGGAGCAGCTGCGCCAGCTCGAGCAGGCCCGCACCAAGCGCCTGGCTAAGAGCGGAGATCAATACCCAGAAGCAGCAGAAGCCCCACCAGGCAAGCGTGTCTGCGCCGCCAGCCCAGCCCCTCAGCGAGGCGCCACCACATGCGCTGAGGCAGCAGGGTCAGCCGCCGCGGCTGCGCCCAACGGCGCCGCAGCAGCTGCCCAACCAGAAGCAGGCGCAGCAGAACATGACAAAGCTGAAGAACGCCGAGCCAGAGTGGAGGCCCATATCCAGGAGGCGCGAGAGAAGGTCTCGCAGGCCAGGCGCGCCGAGACAGTCGTCGACGCAGAAGGGCAAGGTGACCACTCAGCAGGGTAGCCGCCCCAAGGCGAGCGCGAAGAAGGCTCGCCGCCCTTGCCACATCGACTTCTTCAATGTCACGACCTGGGGCCCCCAGGCACAGGGCTACCTCATGGAGATCAACGATACCAAGGACAGGGACATCATTGGCATCGCGGAGCACCACCTCCGCCAGCCTGCGCAGATAAGCAAGGCAAGAGCGGCGCTCAGGAGGAATGGCATGCACAGCTACTGGACCAAGGCACGGCCAGGAGAAGGAGAAGGCACTCGAGGGGGAACGTGTTCCATCACGCGAGGATCCTTGGACATCCAGGACGGGATCGCGGGTTTCGACGAGCACTACCTGCACGAGGACGGCAGTGACGTCACGGTGGTGATCTCCAACCTGCACAAGGTCCGTTTCGCAGTGGCCTTCGTCTACCTCGAGTGTGGGGCGGGCTCCGGAGAGAGGAACGTCGACACCCTCTGCGACCTGCGGGAGAAGATGGCCGTCTGGGGAGGGCCATGGGCAGCGCTTGGGGACTTCAACATGACGCCGTCGGAGTTCAACAACAGCATTTGGCCCAGGGTGCTGAATGCTCAAGTAGCTGCGGCGGAGGATGGCGCCCCCACATGTTTCCCAGCAGGAGGTGAAGCCAGGTGCATCGATTTCGCGCTGATCTCGCAGGGCCTGGCGCCGTATTTTGACCAGCTAGAGCTGCTCAGGACCGTGCCGTGGAAGCCGCACATCGGCATCCGCTTGAAGCTGAAGGGGTGGCCTCTCATGCTCAAGGGCAGGGTACTTCGCAGGCCAGCAGCCATAAAGCCACCAATCGCAGGTGAGAGAATGCCGAAGTCCAGAGCCGCCTGCAGACGAGCGGCGCGCGGGGGCCAGGAGGCCATGCGTCGACGTCAGCAAGCGTTGGCAGAGGCCGGATGCGACCTGGATGGGAACGACATGGAGCCAGTGCCGCAGCTGTACTACGACAAGGAGGTCCAGCACGTCATCCCTGACGAGCTGTGGCAGGCCACCTCCGAGCGGGTCAGCTGGCGTGCCTACGACGAGTTGCCCCAGCACTTGCAGCACACTGTCGTCGGCAAAATGATGGAGCGGGACATGCTGGACCTGGGGCAACAGTACGACCGCTTCGCAAGCACCCTCGAGCTCAGCCTGCGCGAGAGCATCGGCATCCCAGAGGAAGAGCGAGGGCGACATCTCGGGCACAGCAGGCCCCCGAGCTACAAGAGCGTGAGCATCAAGGACACCGCCACCTCCACGCCATGGGCAGGGGTCGAAAGGAAGATCCATGCGTGGTGGGCGGAGATCTCCTCCTTGGTGCGGCAGCTCTCGCACCATGATGCCCGGGCGCAGGAGGCAGCAGCAAGTCGACAGGGCAAGACCCATGCACTTCCCGATGAGGACTCGGGAGGAGGACAGGGCCCGTCGGAGTCGGAGCTTGGCCCCGTCATGTCTGGCATCCAGGTAGGCCACGAAGACGGGGTCCCCGCACCAGCCATGAGCCCATCGAAGAGCTCGGGAGGAAGCTCGGTGGATCGCGCCCCCACCGAGCGGGGCGAGGGCCCCCCCGAGCTGCAGCAGCGGAGTGCAGGCAGTGGAGGCGCAGCAGGAGGCGGCGGCAGTAGCACCAAGGACATCGCGAATCAGCCAGCGCTTGAGGAGGTCTCCCCTCCACAGGCTGAGGTCCAGGAGCTCGCAGAGGGGCCAGCCCAAGAGAGCCCAGAACGACCCTGCCTCAGCCCAGCTTCGCCGCCAGAGGACGTGTCCTGGACCTCCGAGACGGGCACAGCTTTCCAAGAGATGAGGGCGAGGCGGCCAGGCCCAGAGAAAGAGGTAGGCCCATCCGCACACTCCTCGGGGTACCCATTCCCCACGCAGGCGAGCGCAGCGGACCATGGGAAGGCAGCTGGCCCCTGCTCTGAGATGGGGCAGGGGTTCCCGTCCCCCGAGTGCGCCGCCGCGGGACGCGTCCCAGACCTCGACGTGGGACCAACCCACAGCAGCGCAGACAGCTGCCCCGAAGGGATGCAGAGGGGTGCCCTTCCCCCACCAGCAGGACGCAACACCATGGACATCCAAGATCACGACCCCTTCGAGGATGAGGAGGACTATTTGGAGTACCGCCAGGAGATCGCAGACCAGGAGAACAGCGATGGGTACCACCAGCACATCGAGGGGCAGCAGGCCAGCCTCGAGTTCAGCCAGACCGTTCGCCGCCGTGCAGCTGGACCTGCTTTTCCCCCACCAGCAGGACGCAGCACCATGGACGTCCAAGAACACGACCCCTTCGAGGAGGAGGAGGACTGCTTGCAGTACCGCCAGGTGACCGCAGATCAGGAGGACCGCGATGGGTACCACCAGCGCATCGAGGGGCAGCAGGACAGCATCGGCTACGGCCAGATCGCGCGTCGTCATGCAGCTGGATCTGGTGAAACTGCCCCAGGTGACACGCACTGCTCACCTCCTCTGCCAGCTGGCACTCTGGAGGCAGAGGGTACCGATCACCTGGGGAGTCAGAACCAAGCGCCGTCAGGCCCAGAGGCAGAGGAGCAACGAGATATGGGCCTGCCCCCACCAGACCCCTGGAATGATGACCAGCACCAGCGGGAGCGGGAAGACTACGTGGCCATGAGAGACGACCTGGAGTACTGGGCGGCCATCTGGATGGATAACTTGGCGCAGCTCCCCACGGACAACAGCAACTGGATGCAGATCTGTGTGCCGTTCCTGGAGACCATCTTGGGTGGCGGAGCAACAATGGCATGGTGAGACTGCTCAGGTGTAGGTACCAGCAGGCCGGCCTCAGCCACATCATCATGGACCTCTGCGAGCGAGCATGGAGACATGCAGAACCACGACGCCGAGGCTTTCTCCAAGGTCTTACGCGAGAGGAGCCGACGAGGAGGCACGAATTGGAAATGATGCATTGGAGGGAGCTCGCAAACCAGCGGAGGTTTATGCGAGACGTTATAGGCGAACGAGCACCAGAAGGAGCAGCGCGAAGACAACTACATGATGCTCCAGGAACGGGCAGTGACCAGAGTAGCCGCCGAGAGCTGCAGGTCCGCACCCACAGTGGCCACCAGACGCAGCAGCAGATCAACACAAGACGGCAGCTCGCGCAGCAGCTCAACCAGCCTGACCCAGGCAGGCTGAACGAAGAAGGCGCAGCCAAGGACCAGCAGCAGGCCCTCCTCACAGACCTGCACGCGATAGCAGAGGGCGCCCTCGTGGACCCAGGGACAATCAGCAGGGTAGCAGGGGAGGTAAAGAGCATGGCGAAGCTACTCGCAAAGGCGGTGAAGAAGGCGTACATCCACTGGGTGCACGACGCCACGGCAGGCAGTGCGAAGATGGCCCACGCCTACTCCAAGGCAGCGGAGCGCAGCCACCTGGAGGACATCCTAGAGCACGAGGGCCAGGTCATCAACCACCCGCAGCAGCTGGTGGACTTGCGCAAAGAAGCATGGCAACGCAGGTGGACACGAGATGCACAGAAGGCTGAGATGATCCAAGAGGCGCTGGCCAAGCTGAGGCAGGCTGCCCTGGCCCAAGAGAATGCCCTCGAGCCCATCAGCAAGGACATCATAGGCTCCATCATCCAGCACCTGAAGCGCAATGCTGGCCAAGGAGCGGACTGGTGGAGGGCTCCAGAGCTCAAGGCCATGGGCGCCCAGGGGCTGGAAGACTTCGTGCAGTGCCTGACCAGCTGTGAGCAACGGGCAGCGTGGCCGTGGCAATTCTACTTGGTGCTGGAGCTGCTGCTGGGTAAGAAGCCAGGAATCGGCGGAGAGCGCCCCATCGGCCTCATGCCCATGCCGTACCGCACCTGGAGCGCAGCCAGGAGGCCCATAGTAGCCACCTGGAGCAAGGCAGCGGCGGGCTTCTGGGATACGGCAGTAGCTGGCTCCTCAGCGCTACGAGTGGCAATGCACAGGCTGATGAGGGCAGAAGCCGCCACGGAGATGGGCTTTCATGCAGCAGGGGTGTTCTACGACGCGGCAAACTTCTACGACAACATCGGCCTCGACCAGCTGATCGAGAAGGCCAGCGCCCTCCAGTACCCGTTGCTGCCGCTGGCAATGGCCGTGCAGATGTACCTCGCTCCCAGGGCCATCATGACCCACAGCCTCTTCTCGGACATCTTCGAGCCTGCCAACAGCATGGTAGCGGGCTGTGGCCAATCGGTAGACCTCACCAGACCGCTTTTGTATGGCATCCTGGATGCAGCGCACAGGCACCACATCTTCGTCGTCATGCAGCAGTACCTGGACGATTTGGCCCTGCAGGTAGAGGGTGCGCGGCGGCAGGTCATTGGCCAGATCAAGCACGTGGCAGCGCTGGTGCACGATGGATTCAAGCAGCTCGCGATACCCATCTCAGTCAAGACGGCAGTGGTGGCCTCGGACAAGGACCTCCAGGCAGAAGTCGCCAGCATCCTGGACAGCCTGGGCACCCCCAACAAGCAACCAGGTGTAGTGCGCGACCTCGGCGTGGACACCAGCCTTGGCAAGCAGCTGCGGCGACCCACACATGCTGCGCGCCAGGCCAAGGCCAAGCAGAGGGTGGCCAAGCTCAGGGACCTAGCGAAGACGGACGCCAGGGGCGCGGCAAAGGTCTATTCAGCAGGTGCCTACTGCCAGCAGGCCTGGGACTTACCAGCGCACGGCATCACGCCCACGGAGGCGAAGTCGGTCAGGGCTACGGAGGCAGCGCTCCTCACAGGCGGACACAAGGCTGGACGCTGCACGTCCACCATCCTCCTGATCCAGAGGGGAATGCAAGAGGCAGTAACCCGAGCCATCGGCGACCAGATCAAGCAGTTCTGGCTCACCATAGTCGACCACCCGACGGGGCTCAAGAGGTACCAGAGAGGCTGGCTCCTGCTCTACGCCAAGCTGGGCGCCCTGGAACCCAACCGCAGGTGGCAGCAGGTCAAGGGGCCTATGGCAGGGGTCATCGCGCAGCTGCTTGGGTTAGGCTGGATACCGCGACGCCTGGACAGCTGGATCAGCCCAGCAGGTGACGAGTGGGCCTACAAGCCAGATGACATTCCTCACTTCGGCGCGCTCCTGCATGAAGCCCAGCAGAGCGCGCAGCAGCAGCTCTGGCAGCAGGCAGCTGGCCATCGCAGTGGAGAAGGACTTCAGGCTGGAGGCGACCTCTATCAGCTGCAGCGCCACCTGAGGAGGAGGAGGCGCAAAGGACAGCATGCAGAGGCAGCCATGCTGGAGACCATAGCGGTGGCGGGCATCTGGACCAGGGAGCGTCGCAGGGCGGCCAACCTCAACCAAGAAGGCGATGACACTTGCGCGAGATGCGGCGAGGCGATAGAGACAGAGGAGCACCGCTACTACGCATGCCCTGCCAACGCAGAGATAGGGCACAGCAGTGACACCGACCTGGCGAAGAAGGCGAAGGACGCGCTGGACCAGCGGCAGGACCTGCATTTCTGGCTCCGAGGCATCCCGCCAGCGGCCTGGGCAGCCAAGGTCGACCCAGACGGGGACGCGGCGAAGGCGGCGCAGATCTTCTGCACCAGCGAAGAGGCTCAGGCTGCAGCCCAGTCAGGGCACAAGGTTCGAGCAGACTATGTCTTCACGGACGGCTCAGGAGGTGCAGGGGAAACGGCCAAGGACCCCCGCCTCAGACGCTGCGGCTGGGCAGTGGTGGCCTTCAGGTTCGACGAACAAGGACGTCCGCAGGAAGTGGCTGCCTGGTACGGCACGATCAGGGCACCGCACACGGTGCCACGGGCAGAGCTCACCGCCATGAGCAAAGCCATCGGGTACACCACGGCGGCGACAGCCAGGGGGCTCAACATAGTCAGCGATTGCAAATACGCCCTGGACGCACTCAAGCAGATCCAGGACCCTGAGGATCTGGACTACAGGAGCACGAACTACGACCTCTGGCTCCAGACGAAGCAGCAGCTGCAGAACAGCACGGACACCATCATGGGCCACCACATCCCGAGCCACCTGATTGAGCACCCAGCCGAGCTGGAGAGGTGGAATGGACCCACCTGGTGGGTCATAGGAAACGAGATGGCAGACAAGTACGCAGGCCGGGGAGCGGAGCACGGAGCACTGGATCCAGCCATCATCGCGCAGCAGCAGATCAGGGACCAGATCACCATGGCGGTGCAAAACAGGCTGCTGGCCATCAACATGGCGGTGACGGTGGAGGACCCCAACAAGGCCCCTCAGCGTCCCAAGGCCAAGCGCCGAAAGCCGCAGACGGCGAGGGACAGGGCAGCCCAGCTGGGACACGACTTGCGCAAGCTACATCCGCGATGGTGGTGTGCAACGTGTCGCAGTGGCCCAGCCAAATGGCAAAGCATCAGAGACTGGTTGGCAGAGACCGGAAAAATGCCTCGGGAAGTACGGCGGCCACCAGGACCAGCACGGCAACGTCAGGCTCGACTTCAAGGCGGTGCAGATCGGCACGCAGGTGGTGCACGTCTCCCACAAGACGCAATTCACCCATGGCTGGCTCTGGTGCGAGAAATGTGGCGGCACCAGCTACCTTGGGGACCACAAGAGCAGGATCGCGGCAGGAGTGGCAAGGAAGCTGGCAAGGCCATGTCAGCCCCCAACAGCAGCAGGGCGGCGGGTCTTGGAGGACATGCAGAGGGGCAAGCTGCCAAGAGGAGCTAAGCCAGCAGCAGACCCAGCTGATGATGGTCTCGACGAGATCACCATGCCTGGAGATTTCAAGCTCGGCCTGAGCAACCACGAGGAGATCGACCTGGACGGGGACAGCTCAGAGGCAGGGGACCCGCAGCCAGCTCCACAGCAGCCACCCAGCCATCCGCACTCTGTCGCCCACGCCAGCTGGAGGCTCGTGGACCACATGGAGGGATACGCGGAGCAGTGGATGAACATGGTCGACCAAGAGGTCTGGGACGATATGGACGACTGGATGGAGCACTGCGTACCGTACCTCCTGGCCATCACCAATGTGGGTGGCGGAACGGACACGCAAGAGCAGACCAGGGCCGTCACCGTGCAGGAGCTCCAGCAGATCAAGGACTTCTGCGAAGAAGTCTGGCGCAACACGCACCGCACGCGACGGAGGCTCATGACCAGGATGCTTACCCTCCCGTATGGTACAAGGCAGCAGGCAGCAAGAGTGCACATGGACGCCTTCCAGAACAGAAGGAACAACATCCTAGCGCACAGCATCCCCAGCAGCGAGCGCAGGCCGCTGCCGAGTACAGCGGAGGCCAGCCGAGAGTGGTCACCAGAGAACCTGGACGATGATGACTCGACCCCAGACAGTGAAGCCCCAGAGCTGGAGGGCGAGCCGAGCAGCCAGGAGATGGAGACCATGGCGGGACCTGATCAGAGGCACGACGCCAACAGCCTGATGCAGACGGCTGTGCAGGTGGCAGTAACGCTGACCAAGCCAGTGGGGCCCGACCTGATGAAGTTCGTGAGCGAAGCCGACGAGGCCGGCCTGCTCCACCCAAGGCTTCGACACAACAAAGGAGAAGCTGACCAGGACCCCGAGCAGGAGGTGGCGTGGCTCGAGAGAAACAGGCTTGAGCAGCTCATGCAGTCGCTGGCAGGCTGTTGGAGCCAGAAAGAGGGCGAGCAGGGCTGGCCATCGTGGCAGGCCGCGTGCGTGCCCCATGTGCTGAGGGCGCTGCAGACTGGCGTCTACCAGAGGCTTTTCAGCTACGTGTCAGGGCCGAGCCGCCAGCGCAGCCAGCGACGAGCGGCGGAGGAGATCTGCCGCCTGGCATGGCTCAACAGCGGAGAGGCGCGCAGGCAGATCCAGCAGCAGGACCCGAAGGAGGCAGAGCGGCGCAGAGCAACGGCTGAGCAGTTCCTGGGCGTGACTGAGCCAGAGGTGAGGAGCCGCAGCCCGCGACCGCAAGCAGCAGGGCGAGTGCCAAGCAGGGCTCCAGCCAGACAGCCGAGGAGGAACCCAGAGGCCAGGGCCACCAGCAACCCCGCCGAGCTGCGCACGGAAACGCCAACGCCCGAGCCCGAGAGGCCCAGGGGACCCAGGGTACCGCAGCCAGAGCGGTCCCTGGAGGCGGGAAGGGCGGAGGAGCAGCAGAAACCCACTAGCAGGCCCCTGTGCGGAGAGGGGACAGGCCACCAAGGACCCCTGCGCGGCGAGGGGTTAGGCCGCAGAGGACCCCAGCGTGGCGAGGGGTTAGGCCACAGCCCTGCGCCAGACGGGATGCAGAGGGGTGCCCGTCCCCCACCAGCAGGACACAGCACCAAGGACATGGCAGACCTCGACCACTTCCCTGACGAGGAGAACAGCGAGGATTGCCCCCAGCAGCCCGTAGACAAGCAAGACAGCGATGACAACCACCAGAAGTTCCCAGACGTACAGCACAGCATAGGGTACCACCTGGCAGACTGCAGAGGACCCCAGCGTGGCGAGGGGTTAGGCCACGGAGGACCCCAGCGCGGTGAGGGGTTAGACCGCAGAACCAAAGGCAGGCAGAGGCTCGAGGCGGAGGTCCCTGACGAGCCCAGTGAGCATGACGCGGACGTCTTGACCAACAGTGTGGTAGACAGGACCTCGCAACTAACAGAGCGGACCCATACCCTGGGAAACCGACAGACTGAACGCGAGGGGGGGGGGCTTGGCCTTCGGATACCACGTGAACCGCGAACACAGCGAGTGGCATAGTCGGGGGACCTCGCCTGAGCCAGTGGGCAGTAGCACCGAGAACGGGGACAGTGCGAGACTCGGCGCTCCCCCGCGTGGCGAGGGGTTAGGCCACAAAACAGCGCAGCCTGAGAAGGCGGCAGACTACGACGACACAGATCTGCAGCGGGACCTGGAGAAGATTTTCGGCGACTTTCCCCAGCGCGGTGAGGGGTTAGACCGCAAGGTACCCCTGCGTGGCGAGGGGTTAGGCCACGGCAATCCCCTGCGCGGTGAGGGGTAGACCGCAGGGCCAAAGGCAAGCAGGGGCTTGAGGCGGAGGCCCCTGACGTGCCCAGTGAGCATGACGCGGACCTTTTGACCAACAGTGTGGTAGACAGGACCTCGCAACTAACAGAGCGGACCCATACCCTGGGAAACCGACAGACTGAACGCGAGGGGGAGGGCTCGGCCCGCGGATACCACGTGAACCGCGAACACAGCGAGTGGCAAAGTCGGGGGACCTCGCCCGAGCCAGTGGGCAGCAGCACCGAGGACGGGGACAGTGCGAGACTCGGCGTACCCCCGCGCGGTGAGGGGTTAGACCGCAGCAGGCCCCAGCGTGGCGAGGGGTTAGGCCACGGAATACCCCAGCGCGGTGAGGGGTTAGACCGCAACGATCCCCAGCGTGGCGAGGGGTTAGGCCACGGCGGACCCCATAGTGGTGAGGGGTCAGACCGCAGCAGGCCCCTGCGTGGCGAGGGGTTAGGCCACATGGGACCCCAGCGCGGTGAGGGGTTAGACCGCAAAAGGCCCGTGCGTGGCGAGGGGTTAGGCCACGGAGCACCCCAGCGCGGTGAGGGGTTAGGCCGCAGAGGACCCCAGCGTGGCGAGGGGTTAGGCCACGAGTTTCCCCAGCGCGGTGAGGGGTTAGACCGCACCGACCCCCAGTGTGGCGAGGGGTCAGGCCACGACGGACCCCAGCGCGGTGAGGGGTTAGACCGCAACAGACCCCTGCGCGGCGAGGGGCTAGGCCACCACGGAGCACCCCAGCGCGGCGAGGGGCCAGACTGCAGCAGGCCCCAGCGTGGCGAGGGGTTAGGCCATGGAGGACCCCTGCGCGGCGAGTGGTTAGGCCGCAATGCACCCCAGCGGGGCGAGGGGATAGGCCACAGCTCTGCGCCAGGCAAGGCGGCCGTGAAGGCCCATGATTCCAGGGACCAGCAGCCAGGGCGGTCCCTGGAAGAGCGCAGAGCGGAGGAGCGGCTGCGGCCGTCCATCAGGCTGCTCCTCAAGCTCTGAGAGGGCGGCGGCAGCAATTCTTCAGACTGCCGCTGTTCACGGGGCGACTCCATGAGTCATAGGGTGGCGGCAGTACGACGCCGTGAGATGAGGCCGCTGGCCCACCCCGCCTCGGGCCGTTCTGCCTGCGCGGGGTGCCGAGACCAGGGGCACCCACTCACGGGCGGGAGCACGCGGGTTTAAAAACTCCTCCTGCCCCGCCGCCTCTTCCCCCTCCTCCTCCTCCTCCTCCTCCTCCTCCACCTCCTCCTCCTCCTCCTCCTCTCCTCCTCCTCCCTCCTCGTCCTCCTCCTCCTCCTCCTCCTCCTTTTCCTCCTCCTCCTCCTCCTCCTCCTCCTCCTCCTCCTCCTCCTCCTCCTCCTCCTCCTCCTCCTCCTCCTCCTCCTCCTCTCCTCCTCCCCTCCCCTCCTCCTCCTCCTCCTCCTCCTCCTCCTCCTCCTCCTCCTCCTCCTCCTCCTCCTCCCTCCTCCTCCTCCTCCTCCTCCTCCTCCTTCCCCTCCTCCTCCTCCTCCTCTTCCTTCTCCTCCCCTCCTCCTCCTCTCCTCCTCCTCCTCTCTTCCGCCTCCTCCTCCTCCTCCTCCTCCTCCTCCTCCTCCTCCCCCTCCTCCTCCTCCTCCTCCTCCTCCTCCTTTTCTTCCTCCTCTTCCTCCTCCTCCTCCTCCTCGTCCTCCTCCTCCTCCTGTCAGAACAGCGTCTGTCGGGATGTCCTTGCCAGGCCCGCGGGCCCCCTCGGCCTCTGCGCCGGGGCGCCGCGGCGCCGAGGCTCTGTGCGCGGCCGCCTGGCGCGGCGGGCCCGTCGGGCGCGAGGCTCGGCGGCGCGAGTGCGCGGGCCGATCTCCGTCTGCGCCGCGCCTCCGCGGGCGGGCGGCGGGTGGCGCCGGCAGGGGCGGGGCGGGGGCGCGGGGCGAAGCGGCAGCGGAGCGGAGGGTCTGCCGCAGAGGCGGGGCGGCGGGGCGGTCGGAGGGGGAACGGGGGGCCCCCAGGGGGCGAGAGGGGAGCAGGGGGGCGGGGAACGGAAGGGGGGGGAAGAGAGAGCGAGGAGGCGAGGGAGTGAGGAAAGAGGAGGGTGGTGGTGGTGGTGGTCAAGAAGAAGAAGCAGACTAATAATATTACCCCAGTGCGACCCTACCTAGAAGTTGGAGCCCCTAGGAAAGCAGCATCAGTTGCTATGCTATGCCATACCATGCCATGCTATGCTGCGCTTTGCTATGCTATGATATGCTATGCTATGATATGCTAAGCTATGCTGCGCTATGCTATGCTATGCTAAACTATGATAAGCTAAGCTACGTCATGTCATGCCGCGCTGTGCTATGCTAAGTTATGCAATGATATGCTAAGCTGCGCCATGCTATGCTATGCGATGCTATGCTATGCTATGCTGGGCTGTGCTATGATATGCTGTGCAGCGCTATGCTATGCTACGCTATGCTATGCAGTGCTCTGCTATGCTAAAGCTCAGCGAAGCTAAGATAAAGGTACGCTAAGCTAATATACACCTGAGCTAAGATGAAGCTCAGCTAAGCTAAGCTAAGATGAAATTAGCAAAGCTAAGATGAGATAAGCAACGCTAAGCTAAGGGGGCGTAACTGGGGGAACCGCGGGGCGGATCCTGGGGGAACCGCCCGGGGCGCGGCCCACTGCCCGGCCCCTTTAATATAGATAGTAAGAACCCTTCTAGGCAGAGCCTAGGTAGGGAATTAAGAACAAAAAATAATGATACAACGAATCATACGAATCCAAATCATGATAGGTTAATACTAATAGTAATACTACTGTTACTAGTAATAATAATGATAATATTAATAATATCAATAACAGTAATCATACTAATCATAAGAATCGTACTAATAGCAAGAATGATCGTATCATTCATATTAGTATTAATACAAGTAGTAATACGAATACAACTAGTATTAATGATGCTAATCATAATGCTGTTAATGATATTAATGATGATAAGAAGAAGAATAAGAATAAGAATAATAATAATAGACATACTCGGCCTTGCGCGTGGTTCCGCGCTGTGCTAGCTACAGGTTCCGCAGAGCTTGAAAGCCATTGGGACCTCGAGCGATCGTCGACCCTGGTCGGAGAGGTCGAGAGCGGAGGACGAGGGGGGTGGGGGCGCGAGGAGGGCCGAGAGGAGGAGCTGCCTGCGCTCAGCGTTGCGAGGGCCGCTGCCTTCCTCGGTTCCGGGGACCTCTCCCGTCCGAGCTCGGGACCTCGTCGCGCTCGCTGGAGCGCGAGCAGGCTCATAATTACACCAGAGAAAAGCCCCAATCAGTGGATGGTTTTCGCTGAGGAGATCGACCGGGAACCCGGGAGCCCTGGAACCCAGAACCCACCGAAATCGGCCCAGCTGGAACCAATGACCAGGAACCCAGGAATCCTGAACCGGGAACCTGGGAACCCAGCCTGCTACTAAATTCAGCGGGAACTTTCGCCAAATCGTTCAACTTCCGCTAGGACCCCTTCAGTGCAAGCACTGAATGGGAATCAGGACGGGAGAGGGAGTATTCTGGTAGCACTAATTTGGTCGGGCATGCCCCCTGTACAGGCGAATCTTGGACTAAACATAGAAAGTAGTCAAGGAAGATTCCCAACATGATCAAACATAGTCCAAACGTCCTCCCCGTTTTATGTTTGGGCTATTTTCGAATCGTCCCCCTGAAGAGGGACGTGCCCGACTTCACGGTAGTGTAGCCCTCGCAGCGGGAAGTCTGGAAATCGCCTGCTGCGCGTATACGAGTTCCTGGACCTGGGGGTGGGGGGGCGTCGGGCGGCTGAGGGGGGGAGAGGTGGGCCGTGGGGGGGCGGGGGCCCGGGCGAGCAGCGCCGTGCGGCAGGACGCTGTCGCAGCTTCAGGACCGGACCGCCGCCGTCATCGACGGGCTGGGCCTGGAGGCGCTCGCGTGGGGTCCGCGTGGGGCGGCGGATGTTCTGGGGGCGGAGGGGGGTGGTCAGGACCGGGGGGAGGGCAACTTCTCAGAAGACCCATGGAAGCAGCATCGTCACAGAGTCATGTACTCAGACCCCTTTTCTTCCCCGTCCTCCTCCATCCTCCCTCTCTCCCTTCTTCCCTCCTGAGGGGGACGGGTGGCTGTCAGAGGCCCACACACACGCCTGGAACGGAGCACGTTTGTGAGCAGGGCCGACGCGTCAGAGTGTTGATTTCTGGGGGGGGGGCGTCTTGTGGAGACATCGTGGACTGCGAAAGCCTCAGTCGGTAGGCAGCCTCCTATGTTTCAGAGATTATGTTGTGGGGGACTTGCGAAGGGGGAGGGAACAGGAGGTACAGCCAACCATGATGGTAACGATGGGGCGACTTTCTCAGGCTTGCCTTGCATCCTTGCCCCTTCGGTATTCGGCATATTTCGACATTCTGCTGCGCTCCGCCCGGAAAACGTCAACATGGCGTTCCAAGGCCCTTGCATCCTTACAGTCGGGCCGCTAAAGAAGGAACCTTGGAACCCTCTTCGCTGGGGGGGGGGGCTCCGTGTTCCTTAAGTTCTTTACAGCTTGTCGTAGGTTCTCCTCAGGCGTTCTATGCGAGATCGACGCTTCACTTATGGAAAAAAGGAGCCTCGTTCCTTATTTTGGCTTCCTTGTGACAGCGTCTCGACTGCACCGCGCATCCTCACGATCCTGGTCGAGTGCGAGCCAAGAGAGGAAGAGAGGGGCAGGAACGGAGGGCGCGGCGGAGCCGGGGGCCTGCCGAGAGAGAGAGAGAGAGGGTGCTGATAGGGGCCCCCTGGGAGAGCCGAGGGGAGGCGGGGGGAGGGGGGGGCAGGGTGGAGGGAAGGTGGAGGGCCCGGGGGGAGGGAAGGTGGAGGGCCATGGGGAGGTGGAGGTGGAGGGCAGCGGGAGGGGGTGGGGGAGGGGGGATCGGCGGCGCGCGAGGGGGGGAAGTGAGGGGGGGCGGGCCTGCTCAGAAGGCCCGGGAGTCCCCCAGCCTTCCGAGGAGTTTTCTGAGCCTCCCCCGGAGACGCAGAAGACTTCTCAGAGGGCGCGAGGGCTTCTGAGAGGCACCGCCGCCTCCTGAGAAGGCCTTCCCCTTCCCATTTCCCCCCCTCGCTCGTCGCCAAGTGGAGGAGGAGGGACAGGGGGAGGGTGTGCAGGCATGTGCCGAGAAGGGCAGGGGCGCGGGAGGCGGAGGAGCCGAGGGCCGCGCGAGGTGGACGCGGACGACGCCGCCGACGGCGAGGCGTCGGACCACCCGATTGGCCACTGGCAGGCCAGCGGGCATCCTCGCCATTCTGCGCGGCGTCTGGCGGGGCGGGGGCCTGCGCACGGAGGAGGGCAGCCCACCGCCCACCCCGCCCCCAGCCCCAGCCAGGACCCCCTGGATCACCGGGTCGGGAGTTGGGGGGGGGGTCCCGGCTGGGGGGCGGGTGGGGGTGGGCTGTGTTGTCCTCAGCAGACGGCTCGCGGGGGCAGCGCTCGGTGAGGATAGGCGCATGGGGGGATACATTTAAGTCGGGCCCGTCCCTCTACAGGAGGAATATTCAAACATAGTAAAATCATAGTCCGGGGGCTATTTTTTGCTTTTTTTGACCACTCTGGAGTCTGGTTTGAATCTTTGTTATCTTTCGTCGAAGATTCCCCGGTAAGGGGGCACGCCCGACGTAAGGATACGTCGACCACCCCCCCACTCCGTCGCCCACTCGCTGCCGACGGGGGCCCGGGGCCCCCCCCCCGCCCAGAGGAGGAGCGTGCGGCTTCGCTGGCGGTGGCCGATGGCCGATCTGTCGGCGATGCATCACCGATTCCTGGCTGATGTTCCTTGGGGTGGTCTCCTGTACCTTTTGGGGGGGTCTCCTTTGCTTTTTTGGGGGGTCCCCTCTACTTTTTTTGGGGGGGTCCTTTGCTTTTTTTGGGGGGGTCTCCTGCTTTTTGGGGGGTCTCCTGTACTGTTTTGGGGGGTCCCCTCTGCTTTTTGGGGGGTCTCCTTTGCTTTTTGGGGGGGTCCCCTCTACTTTTTTGGGGGGGTCCTTTGCTTTTTTGGGGGGTCTCCTTTGCTTTTTGGGGGGGTCCTTTGCTTTTTTGGGGGGGGTCTCCTTTGCTTTTTGGGGGGGGTCTCCTGTACTGTTTTGGGGGGTCTCCTTTGCTTTTTTGGGGGGGTCTCCTTTACCGTTTTGGAGGGTCTCCTTTGCTTTTTTGGGGCGTCTCCTTTACTTTTGGGGATGTCTCCTTTACTTTTGGGGGGGTCTCCTTCACTTTTGGGGGGGTGTCTCCTTAATTTTTTGGGGGTCTCAGGATCGTTGCCCCTCAGGTTCCTGGAGGTCTTTCTGGCTGGCTTCAGCATGCCCCCAGGGCAGGTCGGGCTCGCGGCGTTTTTAGACCGCCAGGGCCGCCCTGGGGGCCTGCCGAAGCCAGCCTTGGCTACCACCGGGGGCCGCCTGTGTGCAGCCCCAACCCCTGCCATGGGTGCCCCTGTGGGGGGCAGCTTCGGCGCACAGCGTTGGAATCTTCCGCCGCGCACACCATCCAACCCAATCACCCCTCGCTTCCTTCATCGCGTCCTCATGGAGGTACAGACAGGTCGTAGGGGTGACGTGGTGAGTGTAACGCGCCTCCTCGGGCGCTTTCTAGGCAAAGTGACCTTCCCGGCTCAATCAGTACAGCGCTTGCTGGGCTGGAAGAAGTGGTCCGCCCTCCAACGCCAGGCCTCTTGTTCCCAACCATCTTGTAGTGTTGGGTCCTCGTTTTGAAGAGACAGCGCCCCGCGTCCACTCCTCTCCTCTCCTCTCCTCTCCTCTCCTCTCCTTACCTCTCCTCTCCTCTCCTCTCCTCTCCTCTCCTCTCCTCTCCTCTCCTCTCCTCTCCTCTCCTCTCCTCTCCTCTCCTCTCCTCTCTCCTCCTCCTCCTCCTCCTCCTCCTCCTCCTCCTCCTCCTCCTCCTCCTCCTCCTCCTCCTCCTCCTCCTCCTCCTCCCCCTGCCTCTCTTCCCCCTCCCTCCCTCCTCCCATCTCTGCTTCTGCCCTTCGCATCTTTCTACAATTTCGGCACACCCCCTCACGCTCCGGGGCCCCATAGGGAGCTTCACCGAAGGCCCCAGTGGCGGCGTTCGCATGCGTCCCCGCCACCACCCCTCACACGTTTTGTGGACCAATCGGGAGCTCCACCGAAGGCCCCAATGGCGGTTTTCGCATGCGTACCCGTTATAAATTTCGGCACACCGCTCGCATGGTTCGTGGCCCCACAGGGAGCCCCACCGAAGGCCCCAGTGGTGGTGTTCGCGTTCGCTTCCCCCGCCCAGTACAGCGTGTCGTGGCCCCCTAGGGAGCTCCACCGAATGCCCCAGAGGCGACGTTCACATGCGTTTCCCCCACCCAAGACACCACTTCCTGGCCCCACAGGGAGTTCCACCGAAGGCTTCAGAGGCGACGCTCGCATGCGTTTCTATAACCTTGCACAACGTTTCGTGGCCCCCTACATTGGGCTCCACCGCAAGCCCCCGCGGCGACTTTCAGATGCGCCCGCCCCATCCCGAACAGCGCCTCGTGGCCTCATAGAGAGTTCCACCGAAGGCCTCAGTGGCAACATTCGCATGCGTCCGCCCTACCCAGTACAACGTTTCGTGTCCCCATGAGGAGCTCCACCGAAGGCTTCAGAGGCGACGGTCGCACGCGCTTCCTTTACCCAGCACAGCGATTCGCAGCCCTTGAGGAGCTCCACCAAAGGCCCCAGAGGCGACCTTCGCATGCATGTCTCCCGCCCCGTACGGGGAGCTCCACCGAAGGCCCCAAGGCCGACGCCCGCATACGTTTCCCCTACCCAGTACAACGCTTCGTGGCCCCATAAGGAGCCCCACCGAAGGCGACGTTCGCATGCTTCTCACCCGCCAGCATACCGTCCGGTGGCCCCCACAGAAAGCTCCACCGAGGACCCCGTTTGCCGCGGCCGCACCATAGGAAACTCCACTGAAGGCCCCAGTGGCAGCGGTCGCATGCGCCCCCGCCCCACAACCAGTACATTCTTTCGTGGCCCCATGAGGAGCTCCACCGAAGACTCAAATGCCCGTGGTCCCAAGCACTGGCCCCTACCCAGTACAGTGCTTCGTGGCCCCGCAGGGAGCTCCAACGGAAACTCCAGTGGGCGCGGCCGCACGCGCCCCCCCCCCCCCACCCACAGTACAACGTTTAGTAGTCACACAGGGAGCTTCACCGAAGATGCAGCGGCCGCGAGCGTCTCTCCCACATATCAAGGTTTCACCAGGAGCTCCATTGAAAGCGGTACCCACAACGCGGTACTGACAAGTGCATGTGGTTGAGTCTTCCGCCTGGATAACTATGCGCAGCCATCTTGCGGTGTTGCGTGCTCGTTGTGAAGAGACAGCGCCCCGCGTTCCATCTCCTCCTCCTCCTCCTCCTCCTCCTCCTCCTCCTCCTCCTCCTCCTCCCCTTCCCTGCCCCTGCCCTCTGCATGTCCACCATTTCAGCGCACACGGGGCAGAGTTGCGTGGCCTCATATGGAGTCCCACGGAAGGCCGCAGTGGCTGTGACCGCATGCGTCCCTGCCACCCATCTCGGCACACCCCTCACACGCTTCGTGGCCCCAGCTCCTCCTCCTCCTCCTCCTCCTTTTCCTCCCTCTCCTCCTCCTTCTTCTCCTCCTCCTCCTCCTCCTCCTCCTCCTCCTCCTCCTCCTCCTCCTCCTCCTCCTCCTCCCCTCCTCTTCTCCGCATCAACACAAGCAGCATCATCATCAGCATCAGCATCATCACCATCAGCATCATCATATTTACCATCATCATCACTGTCATCATCATCATCATCATCATCATCATCATCATCATCATCATCATCATCATCATCATCATCATCATCATCATCATCATCATCATCATCATCATCATCATCATCATCACAATCATCACAATCATCATCAATATCATTACCTATACGACCACCCTGCGGGTGATAAGGAGGTGAGGGGGGAGGGGGAACCAACGTCTCACTCAATCGATCTCGCTATCGATCTCACATTCGATCTCATTATCGATCTCACTATTGATCTCGCTATCGATCTCACTATCGATCTCACAATCGATCTCACAATCGATCTCACAATTGATCTCACATTCGGTCTCACATTCGGTCTCACTGTCGATCTCACTATCGATCTCACAATCGATCTCACAGTCGATCTCACATTCGGTCTCACATTCGGTCTCACTATCGATCTCACTATCGATCTCACAATCGATCACACTATCGGTCTCACAATCGATCTCACAGTCGATCTCACAATCGATCTCACAATCGATCTCACATTAGGTCTCACATTCGGTCTCACCGTCGATCTCACTATCGATCTCACAATCGATCTCACAGTCGATCTCACATTCGGTCTCACATTCGGTCTCACTATCGATCTCACTATCGATCTCGCTATCGATCTCACTATCGATCTCATAATCGATCTCACAATCGATCTCACAATCGATCTCACATTCGGTTTCACATTCGGTCTCACTGTCGATCTCACTAACGATCTCACAATCGATCTCACAGTCGATCTCACATTCGGTCTCACATTCGGTCTCACTATCGATCTCACTATCGATCTCACAATCGATCTCACAATCGATCTCACAGTCGATCTCACCTTCGGTCTCACTATCGATATCACAATCGATCTCACAATCGACGTCATCATCATCATCATCATCATCAACAACACCGACATCATCATCATCGCCATCATCAACATCATAATCATCATCATCATCAACATCATGATCGGGACACCGACGGGACACCGACGGGACACCGGCGGGACACCGGCGGGACACCGCGCGCCACCGGCCGCCCGGTGGAGAATCATTCGGTCCGGCCGCGCCTCAGCCACAGAGGACACCACCGGGACACCGGCGGGACACCGCGCGCCACCGGCCGCCCGGTGGAGAATCATTTGGTCCGGCCGCGCCTCAGCCACAGGAGACTTTCCTCTCGCCCGCCCACGCAGCTTCGCCTCGCCCGCACGCACGGCACGCACGAATACGAAACCGAAATCGATTTCCCGGTAGGGGGGCTCTCCGTTCCACTTCGATCTCACCCCCTCACCTCCGATCACCACCCTCATCATCACAACGACGACGGCGGCGACCACGACGACGACGACGACGGCCACGAAGACGACAACGACGGCGGCGACGGCGACGACGGTGACGGCGACGGCGACGGCGACGAACTTGGCAGGCCGCAGTACTATCGGCGGCCGACGGCGAAACCCATGACGCAACCACGCCGTTTTACAATCGACCATTGAGTGCCGGGTGCCTAGCCTATGGAGCAACCAATTGGGCGCAGTAGTATTACCAGTCGTCCTGTGTTGTCGGGTTGTTGCTTTGGCCTCGCAGTGCCGCGTCCCACTCCACGCCCTCACCATCCTTCGCCTGGTGTTCCCAACCCTCCTGCGCTGTTGGGCCCCAGCTTTAAATCCGCAGCGACGTGCGTTCACTCCCCATCCCGCGCCCCGTTCCTCCTTTCTCCCTGCCCATGCTCTGCGCATTGCATATCATCCTCCTCCTCCTCCACCTCGTCCTCCTCCTCACCCTCTTCCCACCACCATCAACCCTGCTCTAATCGCCGCCCTCCCGGTTTCTGATGGGGGCCCTGTTGGGAATCTCCCGGCGCCCTCTTGGACTGTCCTCGGGAAGTCTCCGGTGGCCGCGAGCGCAGCCGGAGCGATCTCGTCGGCCACGATCCTCCTTCTCGGTGGGCCGCCTCTTTCTCTGGCGCGACTCCGCCCTCTCAAGCAGCACCGGGGGTGCTCTATGCTCACAGGCTGGCACCGTGCCGGACGCCAGACGGACCTTCCTCGGTGACGCACTGGTTCCGGCCCTGGAGGAGGAGGAGGAGGAGGAGGAGGAGGAGGAGGAGGAGGAGTTCCCAAAAGGTGATCAAGCGGAAGGCGTTGGTCTGACCTTTTGCCCGACCCCCCCCCTCTGGAGACCCCCCGCCTCCTCTTCCTCGTCGCCCGCACTCCTCGCACCCCTCCGCCTCCTGGAGTGCAGCTCCTGGGACGTTAGACTCCGCATCGGCTCCGGTAGAGTTGGACCAGCACAGTCCCGCGCAGTTCCGCCTAATCCCGCTCAATCCGGCTGCATCGGGCGTATACTCTGGGGTTCAATCCGGCCCACGCCAGCTTCATGGCCCACCAGTCGGGCCCGACCGCGCCCAGCTCCTCCCTCGAAGACCTCCCAGGAGCTGCCCCCCCTGACGCCTCGTCGTCGTCGCTGCCCTGTCTCCGCCAGCGGCGCTCCGAGGGCTCCGAGACCCCGCGATCTCCGAGATCCCGCGCGACCTCCAAGATCTCCGCCGGCGCTGCAGAGCCTCAGAGATAGATGGTGAGGCCGCGTTGCCGAGAGCGTTCCGCCGGGGTCCGCCGTGCCCGGCCTCGGGGCCGGGGCCGCCAGCTGCGTGATGCCTTCCTTGGGGGGGAGGGAGGGATGAGAGACGGGATGGGGACGGTGACGGTGACGGTGACGGTGATGATGATAATGATGATGATGATGATGATGATGATGATGATGATGATGATGATGGTGGTGGTGGTGATGATGATGTTGATGATGATGATGATGCTGATGTTGATGCTGATGCTGATGCTGATGATGATGATAATGATGATGATGATGCTGGTGATGGTGATGGTGATGGTGATGGTGATGGTGACGGTGACGGTGACGGTGATAATGATGCCATGGTGGTGACGACGATGATGCTGATGATGATGTCTTTTTGATGGGGATTGCATGATGGTGGTGTCGTGATAAGGCCAGGATGATGATGTCATGACGATGTCATGATGATGCTAATGATGATGATGCTGGTGATGATGATGATGCTATCATCATGGTGACGCGGCTATGATGATGCCATTGTGATGGTGATGCCATGATAATGATCATGATGATGCTGGCATTTATGATTGTGGTAATTGAGAGTGTGTTTATGGTGATAATGGTGATGATGCTGACGATGTTGCTGATGGTGGTGATGGTAGTGATGGTAATGGTGATGGCGATACGACGGCGAAGAGGAGGAGTGTTGTGGTTGTGGTAAGGATAATGATCATGATGGTGATGGTTGTGATGATTATTATGAGGAGGAGGAGGAGGAGGAGGAGGAGGTTGAAGCAGCAGGGGCGAAGTAGGGCGAGGAGGGAGAGGACGAACAGTACGATGGAGAGGGAGGACCAAACGCAGGTGGAGATACAGGAGGGTCATGAGCAGGAGGAGGTGGAGAAGAGGATGGGGAAGGTAGACCATACGAATGTGGAGGAGTAGGAGGGCATGGAGAGCTTCGCCCGCGACCTGGTAGAGCGCGCACGAGATAAGGCACTCGCGACGTGGTAGAGCGCGTCCAGGATGTGCTGAAGTTTGTTTTTTCTTTCGGGACGCGAGGACGTCCCACTCGCCCTGATTGGTGCAGCGGCGCAGTGAAAGAAAAGCAGCAGGAAGTGGATGTTGATGCAGATGTTTCGAGTGGGAAAGTACATTTGAAGGTCAAGGTGAATGCCGGTATGTGAAAGACTAGTGGAACAGGGACGGTTTGGAAAGAGGGGGGAGAAGTCATCGTTACCGTGTTGCCTTGCCACTTTTGGCTGCCGCCGCGTGCTTGCTTTGCCGCCCGCCGTCGACAGAGCCTGGGCTCGCCTGGGCCGTCGACCGAGCTTGTGGAGCCGTCTTGCGGCCATGGTGGGCCGCATCTGGTACGACTTGGCTGTTTGGGGGCTTCTTCTGGGTCTCATAGGGGTCTGGCCCTCTGGGGCCGTCTCGAAGCCACAGCGGGCCGTCCCAGGGCCCTCCCCGGGCGCCTCTAAACCACCAATCTTGGTGCGTACTTGAAGTTGTGGTGGGCCAGACTTCTATGTGGAACCGGGTGTGGCATTACGTCTGGGAAAACAATTCTTGTGGCAAGGAGAAGCGAACGCGAGAGGCAGGAGCAGTGCCCAGGCTTGGGCGTTAGCTGTTTCAGGGCCGACCCTTCAGACGGCGTGGGCGTCGGGAGTTTCGGGGGGACCGCCCAGCGGAGCGACGCCACACGCGGACTTGAATTAGACCTCGCCATCCTTGGGGGGGCTGCGATCTGCGAAACCGCCGCCACTTTGGATTTTGGCCTCTTCGGGCCTCCTGGGGGAGCTCTTTGGCCACTTGGAGCCGTCTTGAAGCGGTCTTGGGGCCTCTTGGAGCATCGTGGGAGCCATCTTGAGGCATCCTGGGATATCTTGAGCCATCTTAAAGGTCATCTTGGGCTCTCCCAGGCGCTCGTGGAGTCATCTGAAGCAGTGCCCCCCCAAGGAGGCCCAAATGTGGCCAAAACTTGTGTGAAATCAATGATTTTGGCATTCTCGCCGAGGCCTCTTGGAGCGTCTTGGGTGCCTCTGGGGGGTCTCTTGGGGCCTCGTGGGGGTCTCTTGGGAGCCTCTTGGGGGCATCCTGGGGGCCTCTTGGGGGCTTCTCGCGGCCACATGGGGCCATCTTGGGGCCATCTCGGGGCCTCTTGGGGCCTCCTGGGCGCCTCTTGGGGCCATCTTGGAGGAGATCGATCATAGGAGGGGGGGGCTCAATTAGCCCCCCCCCCCCTCTCAGGAGGCCAACATGGGGCCAAAACCTGAGCAAAACCAATGATTTTGGCTTCCTCGCCGACGCCGTTTGGACGCTCCAACGCGTCGCGGAACCCCCCGTCCAGGTCCAGGGGAGGGGGTAGGGCAAGCTAGGTGCGCGCGCGTCATATCTGACGTCCTACCCCTCCCTCCCATCCCTTACCATGGCGCTGATTTTTTCTATCCGCGGACTAGTGGGTGGTGGTGCGCGTGCGTGCGTGCGTGTGTGCGTGCGTGTGTGCGTGGTTGTGGTGGTGGTGGTGGTGGTGGTGGTGGTGGTGGTGGTGGTGGTGGTGGTGGTGGTGGTGGTGGTGGTGGTGGTGTGTGTGTGTGTGTGTGTGTGTGGTGCGTGTGTGTGTGTGTGCGTGTGTGCGCGTGTGCTGGTGTGTGGTGGTGGTGGTGGTGGTGGTGGTGGTGGTGGTGGTGGTGGTGGTGGTGTGGTGGTGGTGTGGTTGGTGGTGGTTGGTGGTGGTTGGTTGGTGGTGGTGGGGTGGGGTGGTGGTGGTGGTTGGTGGTGGTGGTGGTGGTGGTGGTGGTGGTGGTGGTGGTGGTGGTGGTGGTGGTGGTGGTGGGTGGTGGGTGGTGGTGGTGGTGGTGGTGGTGGTGGTGGTGGTGGTGGTGGTGGTGGTGGTGGTGGTGGTGGTGGTGGTGGTGGTGGTGGTGGTGGTTGGTGTGTGTGTGTGTGTGTGCATGTGTGCGCGTGTGCTGTGCCATGGCACGGGAAATGACGCCAGCGCTGCAGCGGGAGCACGAGTAGAAACGGGCGGAAGCGCGGAAATGAGGCCAGCGCTGCAGCGGGAGCACGATTCGGAACGAGCGGAAGCACGGAAATGAGGCCAGCGCTGCAGCGGGAGCACGATTCGGAACGAGCGGGGCCCGAAAATGAGGCCGGCGCCTGGGCGAGAGCAGCATTTTGAAAAAAATGCAGGCGAAAACCCAACTCCCGGGAATCCTGTGTGTGTAAAAAAGCAGGACGCGGGGGGGGGTCGACTACTTTCAGGCCGCCATCGGGGGAAGAGGGAGAGTAGTATTCATATTGAGTAATTGTGGAGGGGTCAAGACTCCCTCCCCGCCCGCAAGCCGTCTTGCTCACTCCCACCCGCCCTCCCAACACATACGTAGCACCTGAGTCTGCCCGAGCCTCAGCATATTCAGCAGTCGTCTTTGGATGGGCAGCTACTGGGGGCCAATCCGCCGCCGCCGCCGCCGCCGCCTGCGCCGCCGCTGCCGCCGCCGGCGCCCCCGCCGCCGCCGCCGCCGCCGCCGCAGCCGCCGCAGTCGCCGCCGCCGCCAAGTTTACTCTGTATGGTTTTTTGAAAGGGATGGTGGGGGAGGCCGCATCGGGTTGGCTGCGCATGCTCCGAATTTGGAGGCAGAGTGTGTTTTGTATGGTTTTTTTTACAAGGGATGGTGGGGGGGGGCCTCATGGTTCCTGGTTGGCTACCAGTCGCCTGGGGGAGGGGGTGTTGAGTAATAAATAGGGAACAGTGATAAACCCCTCCCCGAAGGGGAAGAGGAAACTCCCTAAACCACCTATTACACCTAGAGGGCTGGTGGGATTACAAGTAAACAACATGGCGTTCGCCACTCAGTGTTCGGGTGGCCCACCCCACCTGGTCACCCACCCCCGCCACGGCGCATGTGCAACCAGTATCAGTGCACAATGCATCCTGGGACATGTCGATCCCAAAGTGGAAATGACCTGGCTTGGCACTGCCACCCAAAATTCGAGTGACCCACCGCATTTGGTGACACGTTTTAGCCGTACGGGGTTGAAGATATAACATGTCACAGGGGGGCCAGATAATATACATAACTTGGAAAACTGGGCACAAGGTCAGAGAAAACAACAAACACAAAACAAACAAAGCAAAAAAAACGGGGGGGAAATTTGAGGAAGGGAAGAGCTGGTGGGGTTAATTGGAGCACGGGAGGTCTCCGAAAGCTCCTCGATCTCCCCAGAGGTTCTTTGATCTCTCGAGGTCCTTGGAGGTCTTCCGAAGAGCCCACAGCGGCCACAAGCTGTGACCCTCGGTCGCCTCCTCGGCTCGCCAGAGGGGTTGTACAGTCGGGGCCCTGAAGAAGGAACCCTTTTGGTTGGGGAGGGGCTCCGCGTTCCTTGAGTGTTTCGCAGCTTGCCTCAGGTTTTCCTTATGTTTTCGACCGGAAATCGAAGGTGAACTTACGGACAAAAAGGGGCCTCGTTCCTTATTTAGGGTTCCTTAGGTCAAGGCCCCGACTGTATATAGACCGCCGCCATGCCTGGCCGGGGCCATCCTGAGCCCACGGACGGCGTGCACGGGGTGGGCCTAGACCCGCCTGGCCTCGGCCGGGCAGGCCAGGCCGTCGGCACCGCGCCAGGGCCCAGGACGGCCTTGGCCACTCACGGTGGCAGTGTAGAGATCCCTTCGGCGCGCCGATCGGGGAGGAGGAGGAGGAGGAGGAGGAGGAGGAGGAGGAGGAGGAGGAGGAGGAGGAGGAGGAGGGGGAGGGGGAGGAGGAGGAGGAGGAGGAGGGCGCGGGGGGGACGGCGGCGGCGGTGGGAGCAGCAGCAGCAGCAGCAGCAGCAGCAGCAGCAGCAGCAGCAGCAGGAGGCCCTGTCTGGGCGATGTCCGCCGATTCGACTAATTATGGCCCGACTCGGCTGCCGATATCCGCCGATCTGATTCATGTGGATCGCCGATCCGACCTACCGATTCGATTCTGGGCGTTCCTGCCGTTCGCTCCACTGTGGAG